TGACAGTGATCGCCCTCTCCTTTTGACGGATTATTTTGAGAACCTATATTGTTCTCCCTTTTGTTATAACCGCCACCTCGACGATTATTATATCGTCTTTTTCCTTTGCCACGCCCACACACATTATCATGGCCCCGATTACTGTCTTATTTCAGACTGGTCGTGTGCCTCCGATAATGGAGCACTTCCAACGGGACGGGCTTCATGATTTTTCATTAAAAAGGTCATTATGCTGCTCAGCCACCAGAAGACATGAGATTAATTCAGAGTATTTTTTAAAACCTTTTTCACGGTATTGCTGCTGTAATATCATATTGAAGGCATGGAAAGTAGTTAGTGTCTTTTCCAACATGTCCTCATCTTTTATAACTTCCCCACGAAATTTTAATTGGGAAGTGATTCTAAATACAACAGAGTTATACTCAATTACGATTTTATAATCTTGCAACTGTAAGTGCATCCACTCATAACGAGCCCTTGGCAATACCGTTGCCTTGAGGTGGTCATACCTCCCTTTCAAACTTACCCACAATTCAAGTGAATCTTTCACTGTTAAGTATTCAACCTTCAGGTTTTCATCAAGATGATGACGAAGAAAAATCATAGCTTTCGCTTTATCCTGACTTGATACTTTATTTCCTTCGATTATACTATCACCAAGACCCTTAGCGGTAAGGTGAATTTCAGCATTAAGTACCCATGACAAATAATTTTTTTCTAGAAATGTCAAGTGCCACAAATTCAAGCTTTGACAAATTCGACATGATGAAAACCATCATAAAATAGTTGAGTTAATAACATGATATTGATTTCTTTATAATAAAAGATAAATTAATGTTTCAAATGATTAGGAATTAGTATAAAATATATTATATATATGAACATGAAATGTTACAAAAACATCTAAACTCATAAAGTATGAAACGGTAAATTTAATCTATGTTCTAATTATTTTACAATATTTATTACTAGTTTCAATATAGTTATTAACGTCAAACTTTTATAAAATTTTCAAGTCATATTTAATATAATACTATTCTTATTTATGGCACACAAATATTTATCATAGATTTATGACAAAAAAATACTTACAAGTCTTCTAACTAGCATGTTATCATATTCCCTAATATTTAATTTAGAGTTATAAGTTAGTAGCATATAAACAACATAAAATATAAATCTGAAACGTATAACGTATTGATTATTATGTCTAGTAAAGTATCATAATAATACCTAAAATAAGTTATATATGCAGTAATTAAATTACAGATCAAAGATTTATGCAAGTCCTATTAGAGATGTTATAAACACATAAATGTATACTTGACTCTAATGAAAGTTGATTAACTTTTAGGAAAAAAGATAATTCCGAATTAAGTAGGTTTTAATTGGTTAGAGACTTGTGTTGATAACGTGTTGTAAAACAAGAAGAAAATATAAGAATACTAAACAATATAGGGAGACAAAATAGTGATGAAAAGTATAAATCTATTCAAGTGTTATCTTTCACAAGGGTGAAGCATACCCTTTTATAGGATGAAGAAATCACCCGTTTACAATGTTAAGCAAATACGTTAGAAGCTCTTTAAGTGATACATTAAATGGGACATTATGTTAGGTGTAGATTGAAAAGAAACATCCACACAATTAAATGGATTTGTAACATTTACCTATATTTAAAGTTTTTGAGTTTGAGCCTCAATAATAGAATCGTCTTTAATATGAAAGTTCTACCTCTCAAACCAAGAGTTTCTGACACAAATCTAAATTAATAAGACTCAAAACTAAGTATTGCATGCCGAGTAATGACTAATATATTTTACTTATTCGTATTAACTTATTAAAAAACTTTAAATCCACATTTGGGATCAAATATATGTTAATTTTATTTCTTTTATCTCTCATTAACTCAATTTTTTTTTGCTATCAAGCGTTATATTTGACAAAGAAATGGAAAAAGAATCCTAGGATGGAGAGGAAATAATAGCTTTTCTGTTTTTAAAGACTAATTCATGATTTTAGCCTTTTAATTTCAAATTTTGGAATTTTTATTAAAATTTATTGTGTTTGTAAAATTATAGGTTCAAACATAATATTTATAATCATTTTAATTAATTTTATACTAAATTTATATATTGCGTCAAAAATATTAAGTTCAAATGAACCCGGCTCCCTACTACATTGGCTTTCTAGAAGAAAAGCACACCAAAAAATAGACTCTTCAGAATTGAAATTTGTACTCCTTGAATAAGATATGATTACATTCTAGGTCATCCGCATAATCAAAATAGACATGTTGAGAATTGAAGTAAGCAATCTTAATAGGACCAATGAGATAAAATTGTCTAATAAGTACTTTCTTTCATAGATGATTTTCGGAAAAAACTTATCCGCACCGGATGTTTATACCAAGTCAATATAATTTCCATTATTACTTGATTTAATGAAGTAAAACACATGTAAATTAATTATGATTAAGTAAAATGAATTATAAATTTAAACACATGGCATACATATATTGAATCAATCAAATTTAATTTTGTATTTATCTTAAGAAGTTTATTGATTTTGTATATATATTACTTTAAATCCAGTAATTTTTAAAAAAATATAATCATAAAATACATAAACTTTAAATCATTGTTCACCATCTATTAGTACTTAAAATAGCGGTTATATTTACATCATGAACCTAGATAGATTATATACTAGAAGGAAGTTTATCCAAAATTCTTTCATTGAAAAATTATATATTATACATAAAATCAAAGTTATTACTTTTGTTTATATAATACTTATTTTTTTACTTCTTCACATATTTACTTTTTTTTTTTAATGTCTTGATAAAATTTCTAACTCTAAGACTTAATTCACATAAAAGTATATAAAGTCATGGCTACATATTATGCTTCATATATTCTTTTTAAGGTCCAAATAATCGGCTCCTAACAAGTATGCTTCATATATTCTTCACAGCAGTGTCATTTAAAAAAAAAAATTGTTTTGATTACACTTTTTTTTAATCCAGGATTTATCGAAAATAACTTTTCTACTCCATAAAAAAAATAAGGTATACGTATATCCTGTCCTTTTCGTACCTGAGATTCCATCAAATATGTTATTGTTATTGTTGTTATTTGTTCTTATTTGTATATTTCCACTTATTATTGGAGTCATAGCATGTTAATTTTGACAATTAAGGGATTAAAATGTTAGTTTCTAGTATATAGCACACCACCTAGAATTTTCAAATCACTCAAGTCTTACCTTCTTTAATTTTAGTTACATCAAAAGTCTGTTAGAGTAATTAATTAGTCTATTTCTTGCCCATGTTATAAAGAACTAGATATATGAGCCCGTGCAAGCACGGGCCCAATATTTATTATATTATTTTTAATTTATTTATGTGATACAGATAAAATTTGAAGAGTCAATCAATTTTAACAAGAATTTTAGATATTTAAAATTGTTAATTATTGTGATTCATGGCACCTTTCACGTGATTTTTAAATAATATATGTAATTTCCTCTGTCCAAGAATCATTTATACTTTTCTATATCTTTTACATATTTTAAGTTGTTAAATATTGCAATATTTTTTAAAATATATAATAACATATTACAAAGAAAAAATTAGACAAACAAATTAAAACAGGAGAATACAATTATTTTTAAAATACCTTTGGTTAAAAGCAGACATGTTAAGGACAATTGCCGGCTTCTATATTCCTTTGTCCTATTTTATGTAGCGTTTGATTTTGCATTGTGTTTTAGGAAAAAAAAAGACTTTTAAAATTTATGATCTAGAATAATTATTAAATATTTGTATGATTACATATTATTTCATTAAAAATAAAAAGAAATTTTTAAATTTAAATTATTTCTAATTATAGTAAAATAATTTCCTTTTTAAATGATTTAAAAAGAAAAAGGAAATAATAATGATTCAAAGTATAGAATTTTTCCAAAGCCATGGGGTGCCAAAGTAGTAATAACACATTTCCATAGCCAATGCAGTGGCTCTCTTATATACATAAAATGACTAAACAGCTCTTAACCTTAATTTTAATGACAAATAACTAACATGTTGATACCTCCCCTAAACTCACTCTTCTTATATAGTAAAATAGAAAGTTAATTAATTAATTCCAGTTTCATGGGCACAATTATTTTTTTAAATAATGAGAAAAAATGTACAAGACCATGTAAAAGTTTTGTTGTTGCTAGCTCTCCAATATTTTTTCTTAGAAGTACTCTCTTATTGATAACTAATTTTGCATCTTCAAGTCAATATTTCTTGATATGAATATGAATATAACAAAAAAATACTCTTCTTTTTAAAAATAATTCTTCTTCTTTTTGGAGAAAGACGTTATTGTGCAACAACAAACCTCCTAAAAAAAGTTATTCGTAAAATTTGAGCTCCTTAACTTAGTGGCAATGGAAATTTTGTATCCATAGAGTTTCGACATACTATCTTCCGCTCAAGAATATAGCCTCTAACTACAAATTTATCTGAATCAACAACTTTTATACGAAATATAAACATATAAATATGTACTAATTAGATAATCTTACATCTGAATCCACCTTTATTTTCACCACTCTAGCTTCGCTCATGCCATCACCTATATGTTGCAAAGATATATAGAAGCTTCAATATAGGATGCACTTATTATAATATAAATAAATCCATAATTTATTTTATTTTGGCAAATATAATAATAATTCACAAGGAGAAGCTTCCATGACTATTATATATATAATTATTAGTAACAAATATAATAAATTCATTATTTAAAAGGGAAAAAGACAATAAAAAAATTTCAACACAATTACATCACATGTTCCACATTATGTCAATATTCAAAGTCGTGCTAACGCGGTTAATATAATTAATACATACACTATAGTCATATAAATAATAAATGCATCCTTTCATATCATAGTACACAAAATAAAGTATCAATCTTTCAATTGATAAAATCTCTAAAAAAAAAATGTCTCCACCACAATCTCCAAATTCATCTAGAGATCAAGTTCGTCCTTTGGCACCTTCATCCCATCGTATACACACCGAAAATGAAGAAGGTGTTAATTACACGTCTACATCCAGTATAGAGTTATCAAAGAAGCAACGTCGTAGGAAGAGGTGTATAAAATGTTGTGGTTGTTGTGGTATCACGACGATAATCATAGGTATCGTTATCTTGATCCTCGCGCTCACGGTTTTCAAGGTGAAAGATCCAACGATAAGGATGAACTCGATCCGATTCGAGGGGTTGAGTTCCCTTACTAGTAGTTCCAATCTTCAAACCAATATGAATATTACAGTTTCTGCTGATATTTCTATTAAAAATCCTAATGCGGTCTCGTTTAAGTTTAAGCCTGCGACTGCTAGTTTGATTTATAGCGATAGAATCATCGCGGAAGCCATGCTTCCACGAGGGTCCGCTAGGGCTCGACGGACGTTTAGTATGAACGTGAAAGTCATGGTTATGGTTGAAAAATTAATCGTGATTCCTCGATTAACGATTGATTTGATAGCGGGGGAATTGCCGGTAAGTATGTCCACTAATATTAATGGAAAGGTTAATTTAGGTGTGATTAAGAAGAGTGTTGATATAAGGATGAATTGTAATATGGTGGTAGATTTACAAAGGCAAGATGTTAAGGATATTGATTGTGAGAGGAAAGTTTCTCTTTAGTTACGTGGATTCAATGGTCTTGATTTGATTTTGAAGCGTTTGTTTTTGGAATTAGAACATGTGATACTATAGTTGGAGCTGTGAAATTTTGACTATTATATATGGATAAGATATTCGAGTTTAATTATTATATTATGTAGTATACTTAGTTGAGATTATGATAGGAGTGATATATGTAAGGACTTTATCTTTTTTGTCTCCTATGTACTGGGATTTAATTAATTGGGTGTTTTTTAATTAGAAGTACCAAATTATAACCTCCATTGTCATAAACGGATTATATATTAAGCATTAGTTCCGCATAAATATGCACTCAAAGAGACAAAAATGGGAAGCATTCGATTTTAAAATGATTGATAAGTGATATCGAAATCTCTGACTTATAAGGATGAAATAATTTCAACCATCCAACCACATTCTTTATGGTACACGAGTAACCTTGACTAATTCCTTATTTATACAACTTGTTAATTAATTACTTATCTTCTTTATTTGAGGAATTATTTCACGAAAAAGAACTTATAGAAATAAAAGTCATATCCTTTTTCCTCTCAGTCTTTATCTTCTTTTTTATTATCTTTTCATTTAAAGAGATTTTACAAAAAGTCTTATATTTTATATATGTTTTATACCTTAATCGAGATTAAACTTATTAATCTTGTCAGGATGGCCGAGTGGTCTAAGGCGCCAGACTCAAGTTCTGGTCTTCGTAAGAGGGCGTGGGTTCAAATCCCACTTCTGACAATTCTTTTCCTTTTTTTTTATACTTTTAATCAATTTCTCACAACTACAACTATTAATCTATTATATTTCGGTACAATCTTATAGTATCCGATATTTTTTGGCCCGACTAATCTTGATTCTTGTTGCAAAAGATCCATTAAAGAGGAAGGCGTTCGCTATTTATGATTTTTCTATTAAAAACTTACCCAAAACCTCTATTACTATAGGTGAAGAGATCTCATTAACTTGGGTTTGTCATAAGATTTTTCATTTTTTAATTATCTGGTACTTGACTCGATAGTGAAAAATGCGGTAAACACTCCTTATTTGCAATAGTTGCACCATTTCCAAAGACTTGAATCGAAACCTCTGATTAAGTGTGTAAGGATCTCTTTCATCCCACTATACCCTTTGATCGTTTTGACTTAATTCCTAGTTTTTGAATCAAGTATGAAAGTATCTCATTCGTCCCACTATACCGGTAGTATCTCGTACACAATCTAATGTCTGAAAATGTTTTTAAAACAAAAATATTTTCACCAAAATGAGAAAAACAACATCACTACTTTTGAACTAATGTAATTTTTCCTTAAACAAACTTCAAAACTGTTAAAACATATGCAAGCATTAAAGGCTATCTGTATTTCAGTTCTTCACAATATTGAAATGTGACCTAAGCTAATTGGAGCACATGGACAGTGAGGATTCAGAAAGCCGACCCCAACCTGTTTGGGATCGAGTCATAATTGTTGTTGTATGCCTTCAACTAGCTAAGCTTATATTTAACAAAGAACTCAACTCGTGTTCCCGAGTTCTTCTAACTTGGACGAATGCAGCCATGTCATGAATTCACACTAAGCATCTTACCATGTTCTAGTGTATGTTGTGGTATTCCTCTTAGCTGAACTCGTGCATTAGAGATGTGATCGATAATAAGGGATTCTGGAAAGCAAAACGATTAGGCAATGTCGTTACTGTCTCCTTTCGACCTTTTACTTTTTTTCTTGGTCTTCAGTTTCTTGCTTCCGCTGTGTTCTTTTGATGCCTTCTTGCGTTTAACCTTCTCTTCCTCTTCCTCTTCTTCCGTCTGTAATGTTTCATCTGTATCTTGTTGCTGAGGAGGTACCTGAGCTTCTGAACAAGCATAATGACAACTTACTGTTAGGATAGTTGGGCGTAAAACAAAAAATAAAGTCCCCATTCACGATAAATAGTAAATAAGAAGAAAAAATAATAGTCATTCCATTTCGACAAAAGACCCACACTCAAGTTCCCTAGTTTTTGGTTTGCTATCTGATCATGATTTTCCTACCCCCAGAGGGAAAGGTACTTTCCTTTTGGGCCAATTGTGGGCGAGGAGTAATTTGAACCCCCAATGCCGTGGTTCATAGCCACAATGTCGGGGGTCCAAAGCTACAGGCTCCACTGGATCTGTTCCCAGAGTACCCTGAAAAGGAACTTTTTCTTTCAGCCATAAAAGAAGGCAAACAAGGAAACGAAAAGCATACCTCTTGTAGAGAATTTTGAATCGAATACAACACTGTTGAGATGCTGCTTCAAGAAAACCTGCATCCACATTTTAGCTTTTAAGTACTTGAGAGTCCTTTCTTCTACCGATTTAAGATAAATTAAAGACGTGCATTCATCATTCATCAATTATGCATAATCACAAATCAGTTAAAGGTTGGCTATTTGAAATATGAATCCTTTGTTCATAGTTCAACTATTTTTATGCTGGCCCCTCAATCTACCCCAACCGTAACCATGGAAGAATAAATTCATTTCATTCTCTGTTATTAACAGCCAAAGATTTTAGCTTTTAAAAATACAAGGAATACTCATCCAAATTCACATTAAAGAATTATTTTACTCCACACTCTTGATCCTAAATACTTCTTTTAAATCTACTTCGATAGGGTCTTTCGGAAGCAGCCTCTCTACCTCCACGAGGTAGGTGAGGTAGGTTAAGGTCTGCGTACACTCTAGACTCCACCTGTGGGATTTCACAGGGTATGTGGTTGTTTTGTTGTACTCTTGATCCTAAATACATGACACTAATGATGGGTAAGCAGCACATGTTAAACCTTGAATGACTTTAAGCGCACCTGCTAAGTATTTCTTTGTAATATGCAAGAGGGAAGAAATAGATGTGTGTTGAAGCACATTAAGAATTGAACTCAATAATTACAATAATTATCATCACATTAGGCAGAAGGACTACGTCTAGGAAACGCCATATTGTGTTAGACAAAACAATTATCTTCACCAAAAGATGCACAAAGGATGTGTTATGAATTCATGATTATTTTTGACAAAATTACAAAAGAATATCTAGAAACCATACAAAAGCTCAGTTTAAATTTAGTCTAATGTGGAAGGATGGGAAATTGTAGTCTATACTTCTATATGGTATCTTGACTTTTTAAACTCAGACGGACCTAAGAGTTGAACCATCACAAACAGACATCATCATATTTGAGTTTAAGTTGCAAAATATTGCAATTCACTGAATTTTGAAAAGAGAGGATCAATCAACAGTCACTCATTTCTGAAGGAAGCAGTAGCTCAGAAATGTAGCTGTCTATTGGACCGTCCATTCAGTTCTTAAAAAGCTACAGCATAGATAAACAACATACCGCAGACAGAAGTTGTCGTGACTTGACATCCCAAATGCGTAAATAGCTGTCCAATCCTATTCAAAAGTAATTTATTCAAGTTAATAGCTTATGAGGAACAAAATAGAAGAAACATAACTACAGTTCTATAAAGAGACATGTGATCCAAAATTCCAGAGCTAAAACAATTTGAGAGGTTTAAAAAGCTTCAGATTTTCTATTATGAGATTATATCTTCATACAACAAATCTTAAGAAACATACATCGAGATCAAAACTGCTATATACATGGACCTCCGACGAAGTGCATCACGATATAAAGAAGCCAACTGTGATTTTAAATACTCACCACATGAGGCTATAACTGGAAGCTCTGGATGCTTAACTATGGATCTTATACTTCCTGAACATTTCCCCAAGAAGGATCCCAAAAGTTGCCCTACAACAAAAAGATGCACTCAAAGCGTGAGATCCATAACAAAATCAATTAAATGAGTCTAGACATCTGAATCACTACATGAACTAACGAGTTTAACTATCATAAAGAACAAGAATCATGTCCAGGAGCGTGGGGAGGGTGGAGTGTATGCAGACCTTACCCCTACCTTTTGGGGTAGAGAGGCTATTTTCGATAGACCCTCGGATCAAAAAAAATTGTTTTCCAGAAAATAGTTTGAAAGAAATGCAAGAGTGAAAGCTAAGAACTAAAACAACAGCAGAAATTCATTAATAATACTGATAGACAATATCTTTGTCTGCGTGGAACTTCTAATGTGAAACTGAAATCATAACCCACATTAGATATTCTTGCACATGACGAGCTCATAATAAATTAGCCAAGATACATACAAAGTACAGTGGTCAAGTTAACCACAAAATCTTATTCCTAGAAGAAACACAAGAATGAACTTATGTATTCTGTTCACCACGTACATACGTACATGAGTTGTCTTAGTTTCATAAACGATACAAGTTTCGTGCCAGAATCAAATGAGAGAACACGCTTAGACTTGGATAGAAACAATGTGGATATGAACATGCACAATCATAAATTTCTTATAGCAATATCCTCAATAATTTTTCAAAAGTCTGACTATTGGTTTAAGGATGTCTTGCCCTTATCAATGTACTCTTTTTCCTCAAATAATAAAGTATGATATATGAAGATTAGTATAACGACAGCACAAACAACAATAACTATAGTGAGACAGCCGTTTACCTGTACGGATGTCAAAAGAAGCAAGATCGCCAGACCCATTTCCTATGTATATCGTATGTCCATCTGCATCCTCAGCCACAGCTTTAATAGGGGTCTCACGAAAATCAAATGAAACAACAGGCCTTCTCTGAGCAGAAATATCATAAAGACGCACCTACAAATTACCAAATTGGTACAGACATAGTTTAATCAGCAATAATTTCTTTTGACAGGTAAATCAGCAACAAATTTAAGACACAAAATGAGCCATATCATAATAAATTGAGAAAACCTAATAAGGCTCCGCAGGTGAAACTACTTAACAGAACGGGTACATGTGGATCTTATATGGATCAATTTTAGTCTATTTAATAGGCTGAAAGCAATTATGCTATTTAAACAAACCAATTGCAATTAAAAACAATAGACTTCTTTCCATTAACTTCAAGATGTACCAACTGGCAACTGCTGAAAGGAGCAAAAGAGCATTCTAGCGTAAAAGATGGTATGACATTTTGGAATCTGAAGAAATCCAGACACTTTATATCACTGTAACCAGAAAACTTCTAGGGAATACGAAAAGTAGGATTTGCAAGGTGAGGATGTGGGCTGAAGTTCAAGATTAGCTGAGCCTGTTTATGTTGGCAGATTACACAAGGCAATTGAGTGGATCTTCACCCCCATTGAGACTTCTTTCCCACTGCTAGAGATTTGAGTGTACTAGTACTGGGTAAGAGTTAGGGTCTCAGAAGTTAATAATGAGATAAGAGGACGGTGGTTGGAATCAGGTAATGACACAGCACAAGTGGTGACCGATTCTGGAGCGAAAAAATGGCAGCATGTAGGAAGAGAGAAATGAAAGGAAGGAAAATGGTTCAAATGGGCTAGTAGGCTGGCCAAATTCATTTCAGAACTGAAATTGACTGGTGTAGAACATATGGAATTTTGTAGTGTTCCGACTTTTGAGAGCCGAAAGTTATAAGCACATCCAACACTTGAATCAGCTCACCTATTTGGCACCTTTATTGGGTTATTCTAGAACCCACCTCTCCTTCTCCATCCACACACTACAAGAAAAAAGTGGCCTAAATTTTTCTTATGGCCTCAGAAATGCCAGATAATTTTAGATGTGTTGGTCAAAAGGAACTATGAAGCCATTGCACCGAAGTGGCCTAAATTTCCTGGTAATTTTTATAAGGAAAACTACATGAAGCTCTTCTTAGAAAAAGGAACTATGAAGCCATTGCACCAAAATTACCCTCTTGATACAAAAGAAAAAAGATCATGCTTATTCTAGCCAACGAATTAGCTAAGAAAAAAAATACCTGGTGACTATTAGTGCCTGCAACAAATTTACGGTGATCATCTTTGCATAAGAAAGTTGCAGATGTAAACCAAGTTGGGGTGAATATGCCGAGGCTGTTTTTCGCTGGCTGGAATAAGGATGCAATGTGTCAAATTCTTGAAGTACAACTAAGAACAGTCATTATTTTGTTACACAGAAAAACACTAAAGAGAATGACGGTGAAACTCACAGATTTTGCAGACCAAACTTTAGCACACTGATTCAGATCCCAGATATTAACCTCAACACCCTTCCTGATATATCAAAAAAAATTCATTAGCTTGCTATTCCCACCATCAATGTTTTATTCCAGAACCCTGTATTCACGATTACTCACCCACCAAACAATGCATAGCTTTCATCGGCATCTACCTTAGAGCACAAAATACTGCCTGAACCACAAACATTCCATGTTGTTTGAGTACTTTCACCACCAGAATCTTCAAGTGATTTGGACATTTTAACATATGTCATGTTTGCTTGTCCTTTGCTTGTGCATGTAAGCAGGTTGCATGACCTATACATGTATAAGAAAGAATTTAAGAAAACAAGCCTAGTTTAATCTGGGGAAAGTTCCTCATAAATGTATGCCAGATGTCCAAGCAAGCTTCATCTTCCAAGCCACATGGAGGCCAATACATTGCAAGCACACCACTCACAAAGCTAGTCACTAACCAGTAGTTGGTAACTATTTTCAAGCACAAAATGTTCCAATCACTACCATCAACAATGTGATATTATGGTTTTTGAAATGATAATCAGGTAACCATCAACTATATCTCTATCTTCTAGGTACAGTTCAGAAGTTTATTAACTATATTTGTGTAGGGATATTCATAAGAGGTTGCTCAGTTCATGGATAGCCAAAATGAGATAAGCGGGTATCAACTCTTATTCCATGTTAGGTTCATGTTTGGGCTACATCACAGGAGTAATAAAACATCCACATTTGTCTCATATTCTGTCCCCCACAAGCTAGCCAAGGATCTTGCTAACATGCACTAACATCAAAAATAGCAATAACACTTGGCTAGTTTAAGGAAGGATAACCTGTTGCAATATACTTTTTTTCCTCTTCCTCCTATGTACAGCAAATAAAGACAACATGCTGTCCCTCGTTAGTATATATGGACATCACAGCCACACCACATCCCATCTAAAAGCCAAACAATTTCAGGAATATGCCAATTCACGAGCAAATAGCACATAAATCAGGATAGTCTAGTAAGCATTTGAGAAAATAAGTATTTAAATATTTGAATCGCCAAGGAGAAGGGCCAAGATATTGAGCAACATTCTTTAATCCAAGCGCTGAACCTGATCTAATTTGGCTTGAGATTCTTCATTGAGTGGTTCGTACTTGCGACTTGGATAGTCGAGTTATGGCATCTTAATGTGTCAGGGATGCGTATCCTAGTTCTTAGTATATCTGAATCAGGCGTGTCTGAGGTGCAATCGAGGCTTAGGCTGACGGGGTAGGGTGTGGGCCCCTAATTCTCAACCCCGACCTACACAAGTGGTCTTTTAACCCACATTTTGAAAAGTTCTGTCATGGAAGACTCTGCTGGGTAGAAGCCCGAATATCATTAAGAATAACCAGACCATTCAACTTGCCATTTGCACTCTGCTAGGGTGTAATCGTAGGAAGAGTCTAACAATATGTCTACTTCTACTAGTTGCTTATTCCATAAGATAACTAAGGTGATTAATTAGACATTGCCTGCTCATACTGTCTAAAGCAGGAAAAGATAATACCTTGATGATGAGCCCAATCTTTTTCCTTTGAATAAATGCAAACCAACAATAGAATTATCAGCCGATCCTGGATGATTTTGACTTTCAATTGAAATGGATGCACGAACATCTCCATTGACAGGACTAAGAACCTCAATCTGCAGTATAAAAGCAGTAAAGGGTGCAAAAATAAGGCTCAACGCTCAAAAAAAAATACATGGCTTCATATTATCTAAACTTTGACCAAACATACAGCCTCACCTTGCCGCTTTTCCTTGCTACACCTAGTAGCTACAACAAACCAAAAGAAAAAAGTCAAATGCCTCATTTTGGAAGTACATTTATAGCAGCAGTAAACACCCAAGGACTACACAACCACTTGAAGACAAATATCTAAGTTCATTATAATACCTTATACTGCATTTACACTACCTGATTAAATATTTTCAAAAAATCCTTTATTACATCCATGCTAAATTTGAACTATGATTAGCAAGATAATTCACAGTGACATGTTGTGGAATTTAACTTGCATAATTGAAATACATGTTTACATACAGTAGAGTACGTAATATCCATAGTTCCTGCGAGCTTTCGCTCCTAAAGTCCATTATGCAGGAACAAAGGCATGAAAGGAATGATCTTTCTCTTTTCTACACATTTTTCTTTCTGGTTTGAGTGTTTGAGTTAATGAAAGGAACTATCATCCTGTTAAGTAGGAAGTAACATCAAAAGTCCAATGCTGAGAAATTGCCAAAGAAGATAGATGGTTTAGGCATCAGGGACTTAGCCTTGATATCTACTAATGAAGTGGTTATGGAGATGCACACAGGAGGAGCAAAGCTTATGGAAGGAAGTTATGATTGCCAATCATGTAGCACTGAATCACTGGAGCTCAAAGATTTCAAGAGAACCATATGGGGGTTGGAGTCTGGAAAAGCATCTGCAATTTATGGGAGTTCTAACAATTCCACAGACTCAAAAATACACTAGAACAGAGAAGGGAATTCATGGACCATAATCCTTAGAAGGAACATACAAGATTGGGAATTTTGAGGAGCTGGTCAGTTTACTAGCAACACTTCACAGTGTTACTACAACCTAGTGCCAGGTCAATTTAAATGGGGAGAAGCAAGAGAAAGAAGTTTTTGTAAAGGCAGCCTACTAACTGTCGGGTTCACAGAATCCAATCACAGACCAGTGGCCATGGAAACCAATATGGAAAGTGAAATTACCTCCCAAGAAAAGTTGCTTCAGCTGGACTGCCCTATATGAAGCATGTTTGACACAAGAAGACTTAGCTGCATGGATGTATCAAATTGCAAAGAGATGTTGTATGTGCCTGAAGTAGGCAGAATCACACAGTCACCTTTTCCTACAATGCTCAGTGGCATCAGACCTATGGAGCATGCTTATATCACTTGGGCTTAGAGATGGATCATCCACAGAACATCGGGGATGCCTTTGAGAGCTGCTGGCAAGTTGATACCATCATCAAGAAAATCTGAAAGATGATACCTGCTGCTATGTTTTGGAATATTTGGAATGAAAGGAATATAAGGTGCTTTGATGGGACATCAACTACCTTCCAATCTTTTAAAGTTAGATGTCTCATGTATGTATATAGTTGTGCTTATCTGTCCCCTTTAGACTCCCTAGAAACTTTTTTGAACTCTGTTAGTTCCTTGACTCTAAATCGAAAATTTGTAGTGGAGCTAACAGTTACCCCTTGTTTTGATATACTACTTTTGTAACTATTGAAATCGTTTACTTAATAAAAGAAAAAGAAGACCAACGCTGTGAATGAAAAGAACATCCATATCAGCTGAATAAATATTATACTGGAACATCCAATTAACCTTTGAAAACTTCACTATTTCTTTCTTTTCATTGTGTGACCTTTTTTAATTAATAAAATAACTTCATTATTTCCTATTGCATTGAGTAAAGATTTTTTACGTATAATAGCATGGGATATATGTGCAACAGAGACTACAGTAACTAAATTCACAGAGATAACTTACAGGGTCAAATTCCCGGTCAACAAGTGACGCCGCAAGCACACACCTTGAAGCATCAGGTTCCCCCCATTTCTCCACCACCTTTGGAGCTTCCTTCTGTTCACCCTTAGCTTCAACAACTACACCAAGATTTTTTTTTATAAAAATAGAACTCTTAGTACTAATATTTCTAGCTAAAAAAGGGCCATGTTTTTGTATAAACCTTCATGGATAGAGTTATCTAGTACCCTATGAAACTAGACACATGCACACAAGCTGGCCCCGACACCACAATTAAATATGTAAAAAAAGGACGGTCTTTATATCTGAAAACCCAATTTTCAGCATAGATGCAAGATAATTACTAAAAAAGATAGAAAGAGAAAGAACAAACCTTCATTGGAAAACAATATATTAAAAGCTCAAATCTTTACCTTAAATTATTCCAAGAACTACAATAGACCAAATAGTGGGATATCACATGGGATAGCGTATCCCATTATTCTAGTACAAATAGTGGGATAAATAATTCCAGGACTAATTCATACCCCTAACAAAACGCACAATAAAATAATCCTGCATTTTTTCCGAGATTATTATCCTTTATCCCTCACACCAAACGACTGTTTAGTACTAAAAACGATCTAGCTAAAAGAGGGACCTCTTTCTGTCTAAGCCTTAGTAGATAGAGTTATCCGGTATCCAATATTTGTCTAGCTAAGTAAAGGGGGTTTAGTAAGAACATGACCTTGTGCTAGTGGCTGGTAGCATGTACTTGTCGAATTAGTTGAGGTGCAAACACCATGGTTATCAAAAAACCAATTAGGGACAATCTTTATATGGGAAAACCCAAGTTTCAGCATATCAACAACAACTACAACTCAGTCCCAAATAAGTTAATTTGAGCCATATGATTGTTGCTAACAATACTACTAACAAGTAAAAAAAGAAGTAAACTTTGATTGAAAAAACAATAGATTAAAGCTCAAATCTTTACCTTTAATAAGTCCAAGAATGTCAAACGTCAAAGCTCTAAGAGGAGGGCAACCAGAGCTCTCCACAGTAGTAGTACGAGGCATATTTTTGAATAAAAACCCACAAATTTCAATGCTATGAAGAGATAAGTAGAGACACAAAAATGGATTTTGCAGAGAAATTCCAAAGTTTTTAAAGCAAAAGTTGCAGAAGAAGAGTTTAACGGCGCAAAGAAGGAGAAGGAGCTGCTATACTATTGTTTTTGAAACTGATGCAGGGTAAGGGACAAAATAGTAATTTGGGATTTAATGTTTTTTTTTTATATATATAAAGTTCAAATATACCCAACATCCTCGTTTTAGTCTAAAAATACATTCATTATTAATTTTGGTTCAAAAATATTTCTCCTTTCACCTTTTTGTCTAAAAATACTTTCGATCCAATTTAATCAAGTTAAAAAAAATTACTAATTAATTAATTCTTTTATTTGTTTTGAAAGAATAATTTTTTATTGTTCAAATTCTTAATATTTAGCTCATCTGAAAACATTTAAACAATTAAGTCTAATTAAAAATGAAAGGAGGGATATCTTTGAACCAAAAAAAATGAAGGATATTTTTAGACCAAAAGATAGAAGTAGGGTATTTTTTAAAAAAAATCAATAGATTAGGGATATTTTTTTATCTTTTTTCCTAATTAAAAATATCCTTAAAATATATAAAATTTTAAAATTTTATTTTATGACATTATAATTATTATAGTTTTGTATAAAATTTCCTTAAGAAAAAATGTAGATGACAAATTTATTATAATAATAAGTCTTTTATTTATGCTCCGTTAGGTTACATGTGAAACTAGGGCATATTTTAGCCTACAAAAGAAGAGGAAGAAAGAAGAGTAGGAATTATGAATACAAGAATTATTTATATGTTTTGTTTAATTTATACATTATAAGATGATTTAAACTTATTTAATTAACACTATTTAAAAAATAAATTTGTGAACAAATATTAAATTCGTACACGAAGATTTTCATAACTAGTTTTTTTTTGTCTAAATAGGAAAGGTAGGACAATTGAAAACTTTGACAGATTAGAATGAGGCTTGCACAATTTTTTAAGGGAATTTCACACAAATCTTATAGTGTTAACAACTAATTATCATATGTCTATTTTTTTCTAAATTACAAAAATCTCTTAAATTTGATGAAATTCCAAAACGTCCCGATACATTGCGTAAAATGATGTATTCGACAAATACATTGTATAAAGTTACATATACGACCAATACATTGTGTAAAGCGATGTATCTGACCAATACATCGCGTAAAATAGGGATTTTTAGAAAAAAAATTCAAGTGATTAGAAATTTTAGAAAATATGATCAAATAAATTATGTATTTAAATAATTTTTCCATAAAAGGGACAAATTATATAAAATGTTAGCCCATATTTCTTTGTCCAATTTACAAAATTTACAAAATATGGCCATTTGGCCTTCTTTTATTGAAGTCTTACGTTGATAATATTATTGTCTGACCACACGAGATGCTCGTAAACACTTTCTTCTTTGTTGCTTCCCCTTTATCAATAGTTTCAACACAATTATATATTCAAAGACTCAAAATATTAAGAGGATCTCATATTTAAAATTTTGGAACTGTTTAAAGGTGATTTTGAATTTATCGAGATTGAATTGTTTGTGTTACTTCATGTATAATTATATTTTATTTTATTTTTTGAGTGTATCATAATATATAATTAGAATATAGTTCATATTATATGTAAACTATACTTTATAGTTGGTATATATTCATTGTATGATTAAGTTATATTCAGCTTTTTGAGTCATCATAATATATAGTCAATGCATAGTTCATGTATATATAAGGGATAAGGGTCAGAAAAATACCCTAACTTTGGTCGAATTTACTGTTGCGATACTAAACTTTCATGAGGACCTATTATCTCCATAAACTATTTAATACCGTATTTTTTACCCCCTGAACTATTTAATAGTGTATTTTAAAGGTATATATGTTTCCACGTGGACACATTACTATTTATAATTTTGCATTGTTTTTTATGTCCATGTGGGCAAATATATATGTTTAAAATACGGTATTAAATAGTCTAGGGAGGTAATAGGTCCTCATGAAAGTTTAGTATCGCAACAACAAATTCGACCAAAGTTGGGATAGTTTTCAAACCCTTATCCCTATATATAAATTGTATTGTATAGTTAGTGTATATTTTCTATTACTTTTGACAAGCTATAATGTATAATTAGTGTATACTTTCTATGACTTTTGGCTATTATTTTTATGTAAATAAAACATGGCTATATTTTTATTGTATATTTTTTAAATCAGCCCATTCTTTACTTAGAAAGTCACTCTACTTTGATTTTTAACTCAAAAATCATTCAATTATGGATGTTTTACCTACAAATTTACTCAATCTATTTAATTAATTTTTTAATTAAAGTCTATTGATATAAGATCTATACTAAAATTAAAATATTAGAAATTAAATAAACATCCATTTGAACTATTTAATGTCCATCCATTTGATCCGATCTGTTAAAAATATAATAATGAACCCTTTTCCCCCAAAAAATTATTCTCTTTCTGCGTTCTTTATATTTTTTTTAGTTAAGCAAGATAATTAAATTAAGAATTACATTTGTAAGAAAAAATTAGGATACTATTAAGGAAAAACTACCTATACAGACATACTTTCATACCATAAATACATATATTCCCACTAGTTTAAAAATATTACTTATAATACCATTTTTTAATAAATATACCGTATCTTTTAAAAAATATAATCAAATACACAATCTCATTAAAAGTGGTAATTAATAATTATCCTAACATTATACTTCCTTAATTATTGGGACTTTTTACAATTCAAATCAATTTCTCTCTTGATACAAATCAATTTCTCTCTTTCCTATTATTAATCAATAATATAACAGAAGGTTCTGACCAGAACATTATGGTCCGTAATGACGTCCCAATATTTTTGTAATGATGCATAATTATTTTTGTATTATGTCTAATATTTTTACTATTAATTATTTAGAATATTATATCTAATATTTTACCAGTGACCAGTAAATACTAATAATTTGATTTACATATAATTTTAGCACCTAATTAATGATGTTACCAACATATTAATGTAATAATTAAGCAGTTACTAATTTGTTGCTCCAAAAAATAAAGAAATGGCAATAAATTGTACAGTTCAACTTGAAAATAGTTGTTTAATTTGAGAGCATTATATAACTGTCTTTTTGTTAAATTCGAAGTCCAAAATTAAACCTATCAAACCATGCACTTCATTCGATTATTTTTTTTAAAAAAAAGAACAAAAAAGAGATGGGAGAATATTTTTGGGGGAAATAGATAAAATAAAAGGTTGAGCAATTTTGTAAGTAAAATATCCATAGTTGAGTGAGTTTCTAAGATGGGAAAATACATAAAATCCCCCTCAAACTTGTCACCAAAACTTACTTTAGTACTACAACTTTACGTGCATTTAAATACCCCCTTAAATTACTTGTAAGTGAATTTAATATCACCTTAGTGGCTGACGTGGCAAATTACAAAGTTTTAGGCGTGTATAAAGAAAAAATTAAAAAGAAAAACAAGTGGGTCCACTTTTGTCATTGTTCAACTACCCCTGTTTCATATCCTCTTTCTCTCAAATTGTTTCATCTCTCTATAAAATTCTTGATGGCAATTATGGGCCAACAAATTCAATGTTGCTCAATCATGAAGGACATCACCACCACCCCCTTTTTTCCTCGTTCATCACTGCTCCATAAGAGACTAGGTGCCATGAAATCACCCAATCTCGTCAAAAAATTTCACCACGCCGGCGACCTGAACAGAACGCCGGCCATACTCGTTTCCTCAGCTTTTTTTTTCATTTTATGTGTTCTCATTTTTCATGATAATATATGTATCGCTTTGTTTCTCTGTTTGACACAATATTCGTCAAATTATTAGAAATGTTGTGTGTGTTAGTTTTCTATCCTAGGCTTGTAATGGAGAAGATGGAGGGATGAAGAAGACGAGTACACAGTGAAAATGAGAACAAAAATATATGGAAGAACAAAAAAAAATGAAAACTAAAAACAAAAAATGACATGGAAAAAGAAAAAAGAAATGAAAACTAATTTTTTTCACCCTATGACGTGTTGTCAACGTGTCACTGAGGTGGTGCTGATGTGGCGCGCGTGTATATCACCTCCGAACCATGAAATTGGTATTGTATATATAAGGTGTTATTTAATTCACCTGAAAGTTCTTTAAGGGGGTGTTTAAACACCCGTAAAGTTACAATGCTAAAGTGAGTTTTGTGGACAAGTTTGAGGGGGATTTGATGTATTTTCCCTTCTAAGAATAACATTCATAGTTGAATGACTTTCTATGAAAAAAGTTCATAATTGAGTGACTTTTGAGATAAAAATCAAGTTGAGTGACTTTAGGAGAAAACAGTTCACAGAAGTTTAAGTGACTATCTGAGATATTAATAACCGTGTTGTCTGAGCCAACTTGCATACCAAAGGATACCTACCACCTCTCAACAAGTACCAAATAACACTGTTAACCCCGTTAACCAACACTAGGTCAAATGAGAGTGATTTCGCCTCTACTGGAAATTTAACTTGAGAGAGCTCACTAGCAACAAGTATCAACTAACTAGATCTGTTCACCAAGATTAGGACAGATAAGAAGAAATCACCTAGTGATTTTGCAACCTGAGGGACCTCATGATTCTACAATGACAGTGTATATAACTCAAACTCACCCTGGATACCCATAATTGGAGATAAACTACTGTTACCAAATGTGGGACAACAAATACATTCCTCTTAACAAAATTATTGATTGTTCCAGAACAAGAAACACAATGCTCAAAAGCACACAGAGGAGGGGAAATGGACTTCTCTTCATTTGTTTCAAAGAGGCTGAAGTATGAACCAAAGAAGCAAATACCATCAGCATTATCAATTGTATACTATACATTAAATACTTTTTCAGATTTGTACCACTCACCAAATCAGAACCTCAATCCAACAAGGAACTCATACCGCCAATTAACCAAAAAGCCGAAACTTCTTTTGTTTGATATGAATGGAGAGCCAAAACTCTCACAATCCCAGATAGCTAAAACAGGGAATACCAATTGAATCTTTATAGAGGTTCCACTGGTAAAAATTCACTGGAGCAGCAGTGCTAATCAA